ATCGGGAGTTCCCCACAGCACAGAGCTGCAAACCACAGCCGCCCCCTCCCCGTGTGTATCCTGCTTTGAATTTGGGGCAGAGGAGGAGTGCGCTTTGGGGCTATGGCTCCCCGAAGGACACAGCGGGTCAGACCGTCATTACGGCACAGTCAGCCACCCCCATGGGCTCCCTTCTCCATCCCTTCCCTACAGACCAGAATCCCAGGTGGTCCGTGGAGCCTCGAGGCCGCCTTCGGACTGTGGCTGTGCAGACCGGCCACCTGTTCCCCAGGGAAAACGACATGCCTGACAGCCACCGAGCCAAGGGTCTTAACTTCAAATGCTCAACTAAAGGCTATTTTTCTGGGCTGCAAGTCCTTGTCCAGTGCGAATATGCAGACTGCAGCCAGGAGTGCAAGTGCATGGATGTGGTTCCAAGGAGGCCATGTGCCCCAGCTCTTTGCAAAAGCCCATCTGGATTTTATTTTGCAGAGGCCACGGCCCTGTTCTGTGTAACCAGGGAGCATTTGGGAAAATAGCTCTCAGCTTACAAATAGGAGGCCTCGAGGGCGGAGCTTGTATTTGACTGGGGTCACACACGGGGTTCCCCACACAGGGACATCAGCCCGACTTCACCCTGAGCTGCATTCGGGATCTGGGTTACTGTCACCAGCTGGGCTGGGCTAGATCCCATCTGTCCAGATGAGCTGGTGGTCTCCCACCTGAGAAAAGGAGGTGGCCTGCTTGCTTGGGCCCACTGCGCCCGAAACGCAGAGCCGAGCACTAGCGTCCCTGGCTCCGTTTGACCCGCGCCACCTCTGTGAGCGCAGGGACTCGGTGTGCGCATGCTCCCGGGGGCTGCGTTGTGGCCCAGCGCATCTTTCTAATTCAGCTTGTTCTCTATTGAACATGGTAGTTCCCTTTCAATGTTCTTTGAAAACTACAACCTTAACCTTTTTTTAACTTTATTGATTTTTAAAAATTATTGATTGGGGGGGAGAGAAAAACATGGATAATAAGTGAAACATTTGGTGTTTCACTTATTTATGCGTTTGTTGGTTGTTCCTTGAATGTGTCCTGAGGGGGATGGAACCTGCAGCCTTGGCGTATCCGGACGATGCTCCAACCAACTGAGCAGCTGGCCAGGGCGATAACCGTAATCTTAAATACTTAAGGAAACGAAGCTCTCTTTCTTCAAAGTATTCTGGTTGACGTGGGTGCACTGGAAGGAGTGGAGGGACTTGACTGAGCACTAAAGCTGATCCCCGGGTCATGACACGCCCCCCCACCCCAGCCCCTGCCCCGCGCACACCGCAGGGCGCCACAGGCGGCTGGGAGCCAGCGCACTGGAGCCGCGGGGTTTTCGATCCGCTGCCGGGCAGAGCCGACTGAGGACAAGCCGTTCCCCAGCAGCGCGCAGCAGCCCCGTGGGGTCCTGCCCTGCTCTTGTCTGACTCCTTCCCGTTCAGGCACCAACTCAATCCGGTGCAGAATACGGGGAAATGCAGGATGGCCGTTCACTGGTCTTTTGTTCCTCAGAGCTTCCTGAGAAAGGCCTCAGGCCAGAACCCAGGTCCTAGGCGGACGCGGGTCTCTGTGACCCAGGCAGGGGGACAACGGCCGCTCTGGAAGGACAGCTCTGAGAAGAGGCCACTCCCGCGCCGCAGCTCGGCCCCGATGTCCCGGTGCAGTCCCGCTGCTCCTGGGAAGAAGGCCCGCAGGAAGGGGGAAAGGCGGAATCTGTTGTCTTCCCAAGCTTCGGTGAGAGTTTTTGGTTTCAGTCAGAGTTAAAGATCTGGTGGAAATCGATCTGGAAAAGCATGGAGGAGGATGATGAGGCCCTTCCAGAGGAGGGCAGGAGAAGCCAACTCGCTCAGGACTGAGAAGCACACCCAGGTCGTTACAAGGAAGTCCCTGGCTCTCCTCCCGAGAAGAACACGTGGGCAGGTGAAAGTCGCAGGGCTCCCGCTGTGGCAGCCCCCTCTGCGCCCCCGCCAAGGCCAGGGCTGCTCAGAGGCACCGGGCCGGCAGGCAGGGTCCCCGGCCAGGCCACAGCGCCCTCCGCCTTCTCTGCTCTTCAACAACCATCTGAACACACCTGGGGGCTCTCCTCATTGTCTTTTTTCTTCTTAATAAAGATTTTATTTATTTATTTTTAGAGAGAGGGGCAGGGAGGGAGAGAACAGAAACACTGATGTGAAAGAGGAACACTGATTGGTTGCCTCTCATACTTGACCCTTCTGGGGATCCAATCCGCAACCCAGGCATGTGCTCGGACCAGGAATTGAACCTGCAACCTTTCCTCTGTGAGACGATGCTCACCGCACTGAGCCACACCCGTCAGGGGTCTCTCCTCCTTTTTTGATTGGTTCTGCAGAATTCTGGGAGCCAGGGAGGGTGAGACTTGGTGCAGGTTGTTGGGGAAGGGTGCGGTGAGAGTGTGCACGGAGCCATGGTCCCCGCTCTGCTTCTCCATCTGTGTCGGGCCCCAGCACTGAGCCCCCTTCAAGCCCAAGCCCCTGGGTTTCTGGTGCGCGAGTCTGTGCCGGGGACACAGACTCCCTCCTCCCTCCTCCTGTGAGTGGGGAGGCCATGGTGGGCAACCAGTTTATGCTTCTGAAGCTCCTTGGCAGTTGTCCTGGGGCCTGACGAGCGCTCTGGAGTTGGAGGGATGTCATTCTTGGGGATCAGATGGAACTTTCATAGGATGGAGGTTGGTGTGTGGATGTCCTAGGTCCAGTTTGAGGGCCAAGATACCCATGTAACTCCCAGATCAGCTATGTGATGACCCCGGTGCCCGGGAGAAAGGGGTGTCCCAAAGGTGTCCCTTTGATTTGCCTGGACCCTCTGAAGCTTGCAGTCTCATGTCTCCTTGCTCACTTGGCAGTTGTGGTGTCTCTGGATCTTCTGTCAGAACACGGATAATTGAAGCCCTTCAGAACCCTCTTGAGAAGGCGGAATGCCCAGCTCCACCCGCACACCCCAGCTCCGGCTCTGGGTTTTAGCAGGTTTGGGTGGGGAGATCCCTCCCAAGCTCTCCGCCACAATCCACACTGCAGAGAGGGGCTAACACTGGCCTTCTGCGGTGATCTTCCCCAGTCTTGTCCTCTACCTCTTCCAGGCTGATGACGGTGACCACCACCATTCCCCTGGAGCAACTGCCATCTTCCTGGATACCTTTCCCAACCTGGCCAGACTCGGGGAAGAGCTCCCAGGGTCTGTGTGGGAACACCAGTGGGCAGATTCTCTCCAGGGCACCAGGTCCTCCCATGGCTGGTGGACCATGCTCTCCATAACCCCAGAAGCACTTTGATCCCTCGGGGGTGCCCAGGTTGGGGGTCGGCCTAGGCCGTCCAGCCGGTGGGATCACCGAGGGTACAGAGGCACAGCTGCGTAATTAGCCCAGCCTCTAAGACCCATTGCTTAGAGTACGTCCTTGCACTATGAGTTTGTCTGGACTGTGATTCTGCACCTTCTTCCCACGGGTCCTGAATGAATGGACGACCTGTGGAGCGGATCACTGGGGGCAAGCTGCCTTGTACCAACTGTATGACGTGGAGCAAGCCAAATCCCTTTTCTGTTTTCTTCCCTGAAAATGATGAGTGAGGAGGAGGGGAGGGCTCAACTTTGCCAGAAGATCTCTAACGTCTACCTACACTAAATTCTGACTTCACGCGTTGCAAGCAGGACAAGTATCTTTCGTTTTTGCCAGGACACGGACTGGGCTGCCATGGCGGGGCACACGCAGAGGGCCACCTTTCTTCTCCTCCTTCTCCTTCTTCTAAATCCTCACCCAAGGACACCCGAGGGGACGTTTATTGATTTTAAGGAGAGAGAAAGAGAAACGTTGATGTGAGAGAGAAGCATCCATTGCTCCCTTTCAACCTGCCCAGACCCATCCAACCTGTAACCTAGGCATGTGCCCGGACTGGGAATTGAACCTGTGACCTTTGGTTTACTAGCTGATGCTCCAGCAAACTGAGCCCCCTGGCCAGGGCCAGAGCCCACCTCTTATCTAGTCAGAGGAGTCCCCCAACCCTGGGCACACCCCTCTCTACAGCTGGTGCTTGCAGGCTAGGTCTGGGCACAGCTCCAGCTTGAGGCTCTTAGCTGAGCGAACACACACCAAAACCCTCAGGTTAGGGTGGCAGTGGGGTTGAGGGTGGGGATTTACCAAATATTTACTGCTAATTTTGGAAGTCTCTGAGGAAAAGAACTAGGTTTGAGAACAGCCAGGTCTACAGCAGGCAGCCACTGAACATCGCTCCCTGCTCAGGTAGGTTTTTCTGTCGAACTGAAAACGAGGGGAGAGCCCCCCGGGCTGGGCTTCGACAGGGACCCCTGTGAGTGAAAAGCTGTGGCCCTCACCCGGGAGCCCAGGGTCCCCCAGACAGCAGTGGGCGGCCTGCTGAGCCCGCTCACCATCGAGGCCCCAGTCCGCCCGCCCAGGCTCTCCCTGCCTGGTGTGGCCACAGCCTGTTCAGCTGGGCGCTCGGCCCCGGGAGTGATGTCTCTCCGCGGGAGGCCCCCGAGGATCGGCAGAGCAGGCCCTCTTTTCCTGCGGGGCAGAAATGAGAGCCAGAGACAGACTGAGAGCCCGCCCTGCTGAGCCAAGAGGCGGCTAGAGCCATACGAAGCGCATTAACTATTAATAATTTCCAGTTGTTTGCTTGCTGGGTTCGGCCGGCTCCCCAAGGCTCTGCAGGCCGGGGCTGAGCTCTGGCTTCCCCAGACCGCCAGGGTTCGAGGTATTGGAGCCCGCTGGGCCCTGCTGGGACGGGGAGACCGGACAGGGGCCGGGGGACAGTGGCGTCCGTGTCCACCTGCAGCGGGGAGGGGGCCCGGACGGGGTCCTCCGGGAGGCCAGCCCGGCGCCCCTGGCGCGCCGGGATCCGTCGCTCGGAGCGGACTGGGCGGCCGGGCGGGACGCAGCGGCCCCTGGCGCCGGGCCTCGCGGCTCGGCCTGTGCGGGGCGGCCCGGCGGGCGGGGCGGGGCGGAGGGCGGAGGGCGGAGGGCGGGCCCGGGGCGCCGCAGCCCGCCAGACTTGGACCGCGCGCGGGCGGCGGGCGGGCAGGCAGGGCGGCCGGGCGGGCAGCGGCCCCGGCCCGCAACTGCGCCCCTCGCTCGTCTGCGGCCCCAGCCCGGGCCCCGCCGCGCACACGGCGATGGTGGGCCGGCTGAACCTGCAGGATGTGCCCGAGCTCGTGGACACGAAGAAGAAGGGCGACGGCGTCCTGGACAGCCCGGACTCGGGGCTGCCCCCCAGCCCCAGCCCCAGCCACTGGGGGCTCGCTGCGGCCGGGGGCGGCGGCGGCAGCGGGGAGCGCGCCCCGGCGTCCGGGGCCCTGGAGCCCGACGTGGCGGCGACCCCCGCGGTCCCGGTGAGTGGCTCCGCTCTGGCCCTTTCACTCCCCATCCCAACCGCAGCCGGGCCCCGGGAGACTCCCGGCGGGTCTTGCGGCCCCTCTCGGGGCGCGCTGTCGGCGCCGCCACCCTCCCGTCGGGACGGCGTGGCCATAGCTGGGAGCCCGGGGCGGGAGCGCGGCGAGTTCCCGGCCAGCTGGAGCCGGTGGCTGGAAAATTGTCATCGCCTGGGAGGCGCGGGAGCCCCGGGGAGAGGCGGGCCGCCTCCTCCTCCCTTCGGAGTGGCAGCCTGCGGCCCGGCCACATTCCTGTCCCCGCCGTCCTGGAAGGGGCCCGGGGACACCAAGAGGGAACCCCAGCCTTCCCCGGAGTGCAGGCCCCGCGCTGCCTCCCGGGCTTTTCCCCTGCAGACGGCGGCTCCCAAGGGCCTGAGACCCTCCCGCTGGTCTCGGGGAGAGGAGCGTGCTCTGGCTCCCCAGCCCCGGGATTCAGACTGCGAGCGGGGCCAGCCTTGGGGGACTGTGTTAGTGTCCTTGGAGGGACTTTTTGAGAAAGGTCACCCCATGAGCCTCTGCCCTCCTTGCGCCCCCCGTTGTCCTGCCACCTAACCCGTGTCTGGCACGTGACGGGCGGGAGGCCTTTAGGTGGGTGGAAACTTTCAAAAGTGAATGCTTTTATTTTCTTTTTAAATTCTTCTTTAATGAAAAACACCAAGTCTCTTTTGCCTTAGCAGCCTCTCAGGTGGTGGTGTTTATTGCCTTTACCTAGAGCTCAGGGGAGCCCACATCCTGCGTTCAGTCAAGGCTCACAGGGGCCCGCGCCCCAGCCCTCCCTGGGGAGGGAGCCGGTGTTTGCAGCCCTCCCCCCTGGGTAAAGTAGTCAGTGGCAGCCGCTGCTCCTGAGGAACCCACACACTTCGATGGTGTGTGGGATTTCTGACCCACTGACCCTGCCTCTCTGTGGACATCACTGCGTTCTCTCATCTCCACCAGAAGGCAGCACCAGCTTCAACTTGGCCTTCAGCACCCCCAGGACCTGGCCCTTTCGACCTCATCCTGGCATCTCCAGACCGCAGGCTGGGGCCTCCCTCTGAGGCTGCTGCCTCCCCTCCGCACACCTTTTCTCTCCAAGCTCATCCCTTCCTGCCTCTCTCAACACCCAGTCAGCTTTTCCACCTGTCAAAGCCCTGCTGGCTCTTTAATGCCCAGCTCGTCACCTCCTCCAGGAAGTCTTCCTTGATGCTTCCCAGAGCCATGCTAGAGTCTGCGGCTTCATCCCCGTTCCCTGGTGGCACCTTGTCCGTGTGTTTGCTATAAGTCCTGCTGCCCTGCCCCACTCCCAGCCTACACCTGCAGCAAGGTGTGTGCTCAGTGTGTGTCCAGTGGGTGGGCAGGGATGAGGGAGCAGGAAAGGCCGAGGCCAGGGAACTGAACGCTTGTGTGGGTGCCTGAGAGAAGGCTGTAATGTGAGTGTTGGAGAGTCGCCTGTCTACTCCTGTGGCTGTCGTCCTGCAGCCCAGGACTGTCTGGAAGCCCCCCCTAGGTTGGGAAATGTCTGGCAGCCAGAGAGCTGGGGGCAGAGCAGGGCCTGTTTCCAAAAGCTCTGCAGCAGCCAATGCCCACACCTCATGGCCCTGGGTGTCCCCCCCACCCCCACCCTGCCCAGCCTCATCCTCCGGCCTTGGTTCTCACCGGAAGCCCCAGCCCAGCCCGGGCTTATGGAACTTGCCACCCAAATTCAGGTGCTGGACCCTCTCCCTGGTCCCCTTTGGCTTTTGTATTCCCAACCTACACCTTCAGTGACACCTTGTCCCAGCAGCACAATCAGTGTCTTAGAGCCAGTCTTCGACCTTCCCTGTCCTGGAGGATGTGAGGGTGAGGCTGCCGCTCCACACCCCGACCCAAGTGTGGGTCCTCCTCTCAAATCCGGCAAAGAAAATGACAGATTTCCCTGTAACCTGGGAACCCGAGGGGCACTCCACGGAAATCCAGGGAGCGCTGGCGCCTGCATCTAGGCTGCTTGATGGAGCAGAAAGTCCAAAGCTTTGACCTGAGGGGAAGCCCGCTAACGTCCAGGCACGTGGTGCCCGGCCTTCGAGTTTTCCGGAGTGGCGCGGAGAACTTTCTGGTGCTCCTCTTACCAGGGAGGCTGCAGACCCGCCCCCTTGGTTGGGCGTTGATCTTCCCAGAGGCAGAGGAGGTGGGGGAGGTTGTCCCGAATCTGCAGTGTAAGAACATCCCTGGCAGGATGGTTTCATTTGGGCCTTTTCGAAAGTGCTGCTGAGACAATGACAGGGTTGGGGGCACAGGGGGCACGCAGTTGAGGCTTCTGGTTCAGGGAGCCCCAGCTGGGAGGGTTTCCTGCCCACCCCCCTGCCGGGTGGCACAGTGGGCCCTGGGTCCAGCGATGTCGCTGAACTCGTGTGTTTCCTCTTGTCAGCCTTTCACGGAAACTCGGTGTAGAAGGGGGCACCCCCTTGGGGTGCAAGACAAGGTCTCTGAGGGCGTGTGACGTGGCTCTTGTGGGGCCACACAGCTCGTACATGATAGACCTGGGACTGGCTCGCTGTCCTCTGCTCTTCCCACGCTGTGGGTCAGCCCTTCTCGGCGTCATTCCCAGGAAGGGGTAGCACGGTCACACTCGGGTGCTCAGCGGGAGGCTCAGAGCCGGACCTGCTCTGAGCAGGGGTTGGATCAGCTCGGCTGGCCGTGGTCTCACTGCTTTTTCTCTCTCTCTCCCCTCTTCACAGAATCCAGCCTCGCTCCCCACGCCCCCGGCTTCCGCCTGCACACCCAAGTTGTGCCCCTTGTCCTTTGGTGAAGGAGTGGAGTTTGACCCCTTACCACCAACGGAAGTCAGGTAAATACAGCAGGCTCTGATTTTATTTTATTTTAAAGTTTTCACTTTTTAATTCTGGAAATGAGTACTTTTTTTATTTTTTTAAATTAGTTTATCACAGGAGTGTGCCAGTGACTTTTCATCACTCAGTGGGCATGCTTTCAGAATTTCTAGTGCATTTTAAGCAATTAAATACATAGATATCCTTGTCAATTGTAAAAAACAAGCTTACGTTGCAGATAAAGTCCTACAAGTTGGTTTTTGTACTTCATGTGTCAGGGCCATCAGACGTTTAAAATTTCCTAATTGATTCCTCTTTCCAAAAGTCGGTCCCCATTTCCCCACCCACAGCCAACCTCCCAACCCTATTTCAAGGTGCTGTGGCCTTGTTTTTATAATTTCACTGGGAAAGTCTCGTTCTTCTTTGGGAATGTATCTCATTCAGGATTATCTGGGGGCAGGGATTCACTGAGAGGCTCTGTTCGAGATGTGTCTTTTTAGAGAAAGGCATTTTACTTTTGGGAGCTGGTGGTTTTATAGCTGGAGTTTCAGTTGCCTGAACACAAAGGGCCCTTTGACGTGGAACAAAGGAGGCTCACCAGTTTGGAGGTGAGCAGTTCAGCCCTTTATTCCTGCAGAGCTTGTATTTTGAACAAAATGAGGACATGACTTCATGACATTAGCTTTCACCAGCTTCTTACCTACTTGGCCAAGGAGAATAGGCGTTTCTCTCCGGCTGGTTGAAAAGAAGGCTGACTCTCACTCCCCGACCCACCAGCGGGGCTGCTGGGGGCAGTGTGGTTAGATGTGCCCAGGTGGGATGCTCATAGACATTTTAGCGCTTAGGAAGCTGCAATAGTTATATAGGGAAATGTACTAGGCTTTGCTTATATATAAAGGAGAGTAACTCCCAAATTACCAAAGAAGGACTTTAAAAATAACAAAGTAGCTGTTTGAGGAACACTGATGTTTGGGACTTTTATGGAAATCAGGATTGCAATTGCCTTTGATTGAGAAAGTCAGGTCTCAGAGTCCCTGAGTTCGAGGGCTTCTCCAAACGAAAGGCGAAGGTGGACCAAGTGCCAGAACTGGGTATCAGCTAGCATCCAGAAGCAGCATCCAGGGCGTCTGGGCTCCTTCATCCTTCCTTTAAAGAGCTAATTGATCACTTCAGGGGACAGCCAAACTGTTCACCCCCAGTGTGGCAGGAGAACTCACATCGTGATATAATAATTACTGCTGACAGCACTTGCTGTGTGAACATCCTGCCCAGTCCTTCCTGGGCACCTTTTACAGGAAAAGGTAACTGAGGCTTTGAGCAGTTCGGAAGTAAGGTCAGTACCCTGATGTGGCTCTCACAGCTCAAGTGAGCAGGCATAGACTCCAGGGGCTGCTGCCCGCAGAGAAAGAGCGCACCATAAACTCTGGAATCTTGCACCCCTGCTTTTAATCCCATCCCCCCCAGTACTTAGTCCCACTGTGACCTTATGCCTCTGTGCCTCAATGACCTCTCCCAGGGTTGCTGGGACAATTAAATTAGATCCTGGAAGTACGGCGCTTCAAACAGCACCACGCAGAAAGGGCTGCCATAACTGTGCTACGTCTAACTAGGGTCTCCACACCTGAAAGTTTGCACCCCGCAAGAGGTCGAAGGTCACAGTAGGGACCCCGGTGCCCCTAGCTCAGAGGAACGCCATCATGCTGCCTTCCATCTCCCGCCCAGGTACACTTCCTCAGTCAAGTACGACTCAGAGCGGCACTTCATCGACGACGTCCACCTGCCTCTGGGCCTAGCCGTGGCCTCCTGCAGCCAGACGGTCACCTGCATCCCCAATTGCACGTGGCGCAACTACAAGGCCGAGCTGCGCTTCGAGCCCCGCCACAAGCCCGCCCGCTTCCTCAGCACTACCATCATCTACCCCAAGTACCCCAAGACCATCTACACCACCACCCTGGATTACAACTGCCGCAAGACGCTGAGGAGGTTCCTGTCCAGCGTGGAGCTGGAAGCCACGGAGTTCCTGGGCGGTGATTGCCTCTCCGATGAGAGCTGACTCCAGCAAGCTGGGGGGGCTGGACCGTCTCCCCCGCCGGCCCGGTCACACTGGGCCGCACCACCCCTGAGTGTCATACATGCCCCCAGGAATCTAACCTAGAGACACACCTCTAAGCCCAACCTGGGGAAGAAAAAAAATATCACGCTGTCTTATCGTAATTGAGAGAATTTGGTTTTTAAAAAAAGGTCAAATTGTTTTTAAAAGGAATGTATTTGAGTGTATTTCTAGTATGCTGCAGCATAGTTCTGTCCCCTCCCCCAGTCTCAATTTGATGAGAAAATAAAGAGACCACAGCAAAAGGAAAAGGGCCGCAATTTGAAATAGGGAGGGAGGGAGGGGCTCCCCTCCCATTGGCCAGCGCGTCTGAGGGGCGTGGAGAAAGGCTCTGGAATGGAAACAGTGAGTTTTAAGCAGTCTCAGCCCAGGGCGTCCTCACTGCTTCGACAGTGGTGCCGATTCGGTAAGCCGCGGCACCCACATGGGTTCCATCTGTGTGGAGCGTGGCTCTCTGTTCCATTTTTATTTCCATTTCCATGTCCGTTTCCTGTTAACCGAAACGCTTTGCATTCTCTAAATCCTTTTCATGACAAAAAAAAAACCCCTGCAGAATAAGATGTTTAAAAAAAAAAAGAAAAGGTTCCTTCCGCGCTCACCTCTCCAGGGGGGGCCAGGTCGCCTGCAGGGACTTCGTGGGCAGTGGCCTTGGTTCTGCTCCCTTCTACCAGTTGCTTCTGAGCTCAGGGTCTGGCAGAGCGCCTGGCACCCTTGGCATCTGGCGACGTCTCCACAGGCTTGTGTAACCCTCCTGATATGTATTTTGGGGTTTCTAAATACTTTCCTGTTTTTTCATACGGGAAAACATTGCAGAGAGAGACGATATTTGAAAAGAGTGCTTAGGAAACTGCTTTTTGGGACTCTGCGAGAAGCCCTCACTCACAGTGGGAATCAGCGGCCACACCTGGGGCCCGATGCCACCTGGCAGGAGGCAAGTACAGATGTTCCTGGTGATCTGGTTCATCAGGTGGGTGTCCTCTCCAGGGACCCTGGGTCACCGGCTTTTAGGACTTTGGTTGTGTCATCGCGGCTGAGGAATTCCGCCAGTGCCTTAGGTCTGAGCCACGAGGGAGGAGACAGCCCTCCCCAGGTTCAGCAAAACAGGGACGGATGTCCCAAGTGCCATTGCATAGCCTGGGTGCGGTTGTGAGGGCACACACTTCCTTTAAGTGTCCATTTTCATGTAAGTGACACTCATGGCGTTGGGTGTGAACTGAAGGATCTTTTCAAATTCAGCAGAACGGGACAGCGGCGGGCCGAGAGGGTGCGGTGGGCCAGGCTGCCGCTGCCCCCCCCCACCCGCCTGCCTCACCCGCCACTTCTCCTGCCTGAGGCTTTTGAGTGAAGAAAATGGCAGGTGGCTTTTTCTCTTCCAACGCTGGGAAGAACAAACCGTGACTATTCCCTCTGAATACACCGCAGTTACATCAAGTGTTGGAGGGTTAGAGAGGACTGTAAGCTCGGACCCCCGCTGCGTCTCCCGGTTTCTGTTGATGCATCCATCTGCCCTGAAAGCAGAACTGCTGGCTGCAGGGTTCCCCGGAGCCACAGCAGGGACTTTTGTTCCGAGGAGAGCAAGTGTGATGATAAACACCTTCATTTAAAGTCATCGGAGGTGGGTACAGCCAAACCGTCTGGTGTCCCCCTCAGACTTCACAGTATTCAGTCTCTCGCGCTCCTAGCTGATGGAAAGCGTCCCCTGGTGGAGCCTGCAGTGGGCAAGCCTGAGTTCGTGCGGTGGGGCTCAGTGGGGGGCCCTCAGCAGGGCTCTCGGGGTCCTTCAGGAGTCTCCTCAGTCACGCAGAGCAACAAATGCTTCCCGTGTTTGGAAGAGCAAATCACACGGCATTTATGATAAAAATGGACTTTTCTGTCCGATTCTGTAATCTTATCATGTAAGGCAAGTGATAAATGTAAATTTTAAATTACGTGTCGAGAGTTCCCAAGGCTTTGCCCCGGCCCAGTGGGGACACGTGAGTGAGGTCGGGCTGGAGAATGTGGCCTCCGACCACGGCAGTGCTCTGAGTTGTCCGCGTGAGATTTTGGTTCAGGGGGATTGAGTTAAGTTCAAGCAAATTGCTCTGGGTGGGGAGAGAATCGGAATTATGTCAGTGAAGTATGTAGAAGCGAGCGATTGTGAATGTGCACCGTGAATGCAAAAGCAGGTTTTGTTTGGCTAAGTTATTCACTAGGGAACGGACTTTAGGTCTAGTCCTCTTTCTTCACACCTGCTTGGCCGAAGGATGCAGAAAAGGAGGCAGGTGAAGACGCGCAGGACACTTCAGGGCAGGCACCCGGCTCGCGGCGTCTTGCAGCTCACTCGGTAAACCAGGCGTTCCTAGGTCTGGGGGACCCAGTTTACTTATGAATTAAAGTCTTCTTTCTCAGGCTCTTAAATTATGGCTTTCATGTAATAAGGATGATTTGTATTTTCTGAAAAAAATGTTGTTTTCAAATCCAGACCTTTTAACAAAGAATGATTACCTTTTCATTGGATGCTTTTCTTGTTTCTAACGTTAGGAAGCCCAGAATAGTATTTGACAAAAACTACTTCTTAAATTCATCTTTGACATCTCTTTCCCACCCCATTTTGCTTTGTGACTCCTTCATGTAACAATAAATTATCTTTAAAAAAAAAAAAACCCTTACAGATGCTTCTTTTTTAAGGTAAAATTGTAATGTTTTGGTTAGGTAAAATGAGAAGAACAGCTGTATGTCTTACAATTTTTTTAATACGTGGTTGTAGTTTAGTGGAATAATACTTCTGTCTGGAGTTGGCCCTTCCTCAGGGGTCCCAGAGCGCCAAGGGGCCCTGGGCACAGAGAGTTTCATGGAGTCCGTTCTCAGACTGGATGAGTTCTCTTCCCCAAATCCCATCTCCCCTGAAGATGGGGCCGCAATGAGGTCAGGCCAGTCCTGCCATCCCTCCTCCCCTCTCGATTGCCATTCTCTGCTTTGCAGAAGAAATGCATGTTTTTAGTCTAACCATCTCAAATTTGCTGGGGGACGTTGCTCTGGTCTGGAAAAACCTGTAGGTACCAGGCCAAAGAACGGTCAGAAACCTCGGTGTCAGGGCCCCAGAGCCCCACCCTGGGGGCTTCCTGTCTGCCAACGCCCTACACCTGATGTTGTCAGGGGGAGGTCTGGGGGCACAGGCAGGGTTGGCCCCTGCAGGGACGTCCCCACTGACAGGGTCTCCCGAAGTGAGGCAGTCGGAGTGATGACGCTTCTGGAAAACTCACGTCCCTTCGAGGTCAGACTGGTGTCTTCCCAGAGGGACCGTCCCTTCGGGCCAAGCAAGGAGGACCCCTGAGAAATCCTGAAAGCGAAGGCATCTTACTTCATTCAGGCATCACGTTCACGGCAAGGCCTCATCTGTCAGTCTTTGAGTCCCGACTCAAATATGTCCCAGGAGTGCTGAAAATAATTCCTGTAACTTTTTTAAAGCCAGCCTCTTTTTAACAGAAATTAAGTTTACTTTGGCTGACGGGGAGGACAGTGAGGCCTCAGGTTGCCATTAGGTTATTTGGTGTAAATTTTCCATAAAACAAATAAGCTAATCAGTAGTTCCAAGGTTGTGTTGGAAAAATATTTTAAGTGTGTAAGATTTCAGTTACAATTATATGATATATGATTATATGGTGTATGGTATATGGTATATGATCATATAGAGTTTCTATAGAGAGGCAAGAGTGTTTCAATTTTCCCTTGAAAAATACCTAAGTAATCGGCTTAAGCTGGTGCCCTCAAGAGGAAGAAGTAGTACATATAATTAACAATAATATGATAAAACTTAGGAAGGCTTTTGGTGTACTTCCCAGAAATTTAAGAAGTAAATGACTGCTGATTAGGTAATGAATCCTATCGTAAGAAATGCCTCTTTCAACATTAAATACTAACATTCTTATTTTGGAGTATAATCACTATCAAGGGCTTGTTTATATTACTATTTCCCCATGTGATTTCTATGGAGTAAAATAAGGGTGCCTATGGTCAAGTAATTTGGGGGAAGTTAAAAGGTGAACAGTGCTAATTATATTTATTGCAGGGCTTTCAGGAACCCTTGTATTGATCAGCTTTTGTGCCATAACAGCCACCACCAGTCACAGGGACATGTAAGCTTGTCAAAGCTGAAGCAGTTATTTCTTGCACACAGGTTTATAGGGCCCATGGAGTGGTCTGTCCAAGGCGAGGTGTTGAGTTCAGGTTCACGGCTCTCGTCTCTGAAGCAGGCTGGGAAGGTTGACTGGGGCACATTTTTCTCGTGGAAGAGTTCAAACGGTGCCAGAGAAGGAAGCATAAACATACGATGTCTCTTAAATACGGCACGGGCGCCCTGTTACTCCCACCCACATTCTGTTGGCCAAAGCAGGTTGCTCAACCCAACCTGACGTGACTGGGACAGGGAACCATACTTCCTTCTTGGATGGGGGAGAAAAAGCGAGTATTTGCTGTACCTTGAATATGTTCAATGTGCATTAGGAATCTTCAAATGGGAAAATCTGGTGTATTTCTAACATGTCGAGCCTGAGAACTCATGAGCATTTCATGGACTGATTAAACTGACAAAAGACGTGAACAGGAGCAAAGGCATACACATTTTATTGATACTAATATTTTTATGTGCATGAGGGCTTCACAGAAAAGAAGTAAAAACCTAAAGAAGTGGTTAGACTTGGGAACATAGATGCCATTTGAACAAAGGGCAATAAGCTGAGAGAAAGTGACCAGGCAAAAGAAAGGGAATTGGGCTTCTAGGGCCAGTAAACGGTGGGAAAGTGACTAGGAAACTCACTGGGGAAAGTAACAGTCTGTTTAGCAGACTGCCGACTCCCGGGCGGGGGGGTGGCCCTCGTCCTGCAGGTGAGAGCTGCTCTCCTCACTCTGGTCCAGGAGAGGGGCTGGGACTCTATGCCACCTTCACAAGGCGAAATTTCTGCCCTGCTTTCCCATAGATCAGGAGAGAGCAAAGAACTTTTCCTACATCTGTTGATTCTCGGTTGCCTTCAGCTCAACATAATCCTGATACCAAAGTGGCACATTTTGGAGTGGCATGTTCTGGATGCCTTCACCGGACCACCTGGGTCCAAACTAGCCCCATCGTTTCTCAGCTATGTGACCTTGAGCAAGTCCCTCCCCAGAGATGTTGTGAGGACCGAATGAGCTAATGCACACAAAGCACTTTGAACCATATGAGTTAAAAGCTATGTAAGTGTTTATTGTTCTAATTATCTTTGGGCTTGTATTTTCACTCCCAGGAATGCACCCAAAGCACTGGAAAATTGCACTAAAATGCGCACATAAGGATGTTCCTTGCAAAATTATTTAGAGCATCCAGAAATAGGAAACCAGTAGATGTCCACAAATAGGGACTGAATAAACTGTGCAGTGAAACACCAGGCACGCATTGCAGTGCAGTGTGGATGGCAGTTTAGTGATTTGCAAAGATGTCCATGCTACAGTTTTAAGAGAACTGTTAAGAGACAACATATGTATTATTACCCCATTAATTTTGTCTTCCTCTTTGCAGATCCATGAATAGAAAAAGACACAGATGAGGCCAGCTCTCTCTGAATGGAGGGACTACTAGGTGCTTTAAAATACTGTTTTGCTTATGTGTGTTTTCTAATCGGTCTGTAACACATGTGCTTTACCTGTATAGTTTGAAAATAAAACCTGAGTGTAGAACTTTGTACAGTTTCCTGGTGATTTAAGTGTAGAGAAACCAGAGTTAGCTGGTCAGTCTGTCTGTCCCTTAGACCAGGGTGCAGGACTGTAAGGAGTCAGCCTTTGTATTATCAATATTTGCAGGCTAACCAAGTTGCCTGCCACATTTTCATGGATGTTGGCTAAAGGCATGAAACTCTTGGTCAGGGACAAAGGACAGGTTATTCGTCACAACAATAGCTAGAGCACCAGCCTCTGGGCAGGTTTCAAGCCTCAGTGCCCAGAGAGGGCTGCGAAGAGGGCCGGGTGGCTCTGGAACAGAAGGGCTGGTCACACAGCAGGGGAGCTCTGGGCTTGGACCTGGAATCTCCTACAAGAAGCCCTAAGCAAACCTGCCCCACGCTCTGCAGGGAGATGCGCCTGTCTTCCAAGGCTGTTCGTCATGCCACTGTCCTTTCAAAGACAGTCTGGAGCAGAGGCGACTCTCCTCACAAGATGTTCAGACACAGGAGAGACCTGGGGGGAATCAGTGCCAACACCCAGGGCAGCTCGGAGGTTAACAGGCGTGTGACTCACCCTGGGATCTCGTTAAACTGCAGGGTCTGATTCAGGAAGTCTGGGGTGGGGCCTGAGAGCTGGCTAACAAGAGAGTCTCTAATGAGCTCCAGGCCGATCCAGGCCGCGCTGGAGCCGCTGGTCGCAGGCCCTCATTCCGGGCGCAGAGGCCTCAGGCAGCGCCCGCGCGCAATGCCAGGGCCCAGGGAGTGGTCTCGGGCCACAGCGCCGCACGGGGCTGCGCCGCAGTACAGCTGCGCTGCAGCGGGGCTGGCGGAGGGAGGTAGAGCCGTTCCTAAACCTTCCCATCGATGATCGGAGGGGGACGCAGCAGAGTGTGAAAGGCTGCATTTGACCGTGAGCAAGTACACAGTGTGGCCAGAAGGCCTGAAAGAGTGTCTTCCCAGCGCCCAGGGGCCCTCTGGAGCCGGACTGGCAGAGGCTTCTGCTGCCCCTGGCCCCCTCTGCCCCAGAAGCTTCTGTGCCAGCCACAGTTCCCAGGAACAACTACCCGGCCCTCCCTTAGCCACTGACCCAACTAACAAGCCCCCGCGCTGTCTTTAGCTGGGTCTCTCTGTGCGGGTTAAACTCCAGAAGGTGTGCCGGCCGTTGGCTCCCACCTGCCTCGGAGCCTGCCGGGCGGGCGCACTACCTGAAGCTTCTGTGTGACCCTGGGCGGGTCACCCATGCTGCGCCCAATTCCTATCATGTGAATGAGGTCGTAACACCCTCCCACCAGGAAGGCTGTGTGGAGGTGGAAGGAAACCATGTCTGTTAAATGCCTGCCAGTGTGTTTGGACGGGGAGGGGCCTGGTCAATGTTACCATCTTTAGCAGTTGCTTGATAAACATTTACTGAAAAGACAATTGGGACCTGGCTGGGTAGCTCAGTTGGTCAGAGTCCCGCCCCAATAGGCCTAGGTTGCACGTTCAATCCCCAGTCAGGGCACATACAAGAATCAACCAATGAATGTATCAATTAGTAGAACAAGAAAAATTAATGTTTATCTCTCTCCCTCCCTCACCCTGAAAAATCAATAATAATAAAAAAGACTATCGGGGACCTTGAAGCAAGTCTCTTACAAGTTGTGCCACTGGAGCCAGGCACCTCCTCTCTCTGAGCCCACATTGTAAAGTGGAGGAGTTCGCGCCGCTCAGAGAGCTTGGTGAGGGGCAAAGACACGGGAGGACTTAGGAACTAGACGACAGCCTAAAACACTGTGATTACAGGGCAGACAGCGGACTCGGAGCACATACTCTGAAAAGGTAACACGGCCGGCTCTCTGCAGCAGCAGCCAGGAAGCATCTCAGGTGGAAGTCACGCAGTCTGGTCTAGCACCTAACCCCCCAGCTGCTCCCCACCCTGCAGGGCACGGCATCACTTCTGCCCAGATAAGTTCAGACCTCTGAGCCCTGGCAATGGGTGTCTGTGGGGCCCGGGTGACACATGGCTTCTGGTGAGAAGGCTGGGTTTAGGGTTTTCCACTCCTCTGGTCAAGGGCAAGTCGGGTCAAGGGCGAGGCTGCTCGCTGAGAGGCACAGCTGACGGCGGCTGAGGGAAGAGGTCGACTGAATGCTAGCTGTTGCTTGCTGTGTAACAAAATCACCCCCAACATTTAATGGCTTAAAACAACTTAATAATCTCACAGGTATTGTGGGTCAGGAATCTGGGTGCACCTTAGCTGGACGCCTCTGGTTCAGTCTCTCTCACAGGCAGTAGCCAAGCATCTCTTGGGGCTGTGGTCATCTCAAGGCTTCACGGGCTGGACCTGCTCCCAAGCTCACCCCAGGGGCTGCTGCAGGCTGCAGATCCTCACAGGTGTTGCTGGGAGACATCAATTCCTTGCCACATGGGCCTTTCCGTAGGTGGCCCCCCAGAGAAAGTGCCCTGCCAGGGGGAGAGAGAAAAAGAGCAAGTGCCAAATGGAAACCTCTCCATTTAAGTAATGTCTCTCTCTCTCTCTCTCTCTCTCTAATTAATAAACTTTGAGGGCAGTTTTAGGGCAGAAAAATTGAGCAGAAACTACCAAGGTTTCCCATATACCTCTTTGACACTCTCCCCTCTGACACTCTCCCCATTTCCCCTATTATCCACATCTTGCATCGATGTGGTGCATTTGCTACAACTGGGGCACCGGTATGGGCACATCATTATTAACTAACGTCCATGGTTTAGGGGCCGCTCCCAGTGTCCGCTCTGTGGATTTGGACAGATGTGTAATAACACTTATCCACCATGACAGCACCACGCAGGACGGTTTCACCCTTCTGTCCACCTGTGTTCCCGATTCACTCTTCCCTCCTTCCCCAAACACCGTCTCTTTGCACGACCTCATCTCAGAGGTGGCATCCGGCGCGTTTGCCACATTCTATTCATCCGAGTCGGTAGGTTCAGCCCCTGCTCAAGGGGAGAGCGTGAAAACCGGGAGGCAGAGGTCATGGGGACACTGGCCACACCAAGTCCCACAGAAGCTGTTACATCCCTGGAATTTGTCCTCCTGCAGTGCCCACGGTGGACAGTCACGGGCTCACACAGGAGCACGCTGTCCCCAAGTCTGCCACCACGGCTGGCTGGAAGCTCACAGTCTGCTCAGGGTGGGAAAGTCTTACAGTGAGCTGGTCATGTGGGCGCATTCCAGCTCTGCGACCAGCCCTGAAGGCTGACACCCACCCACTAGGCTCCACCAAAACCGGGTGCAAAACAAAAACCCAATTATTACCACCAAACAGCGCTTGGTGGCTGATGCCGTCCGTGCCCAAACAGCTCGTTGGTCCATGGCTCCAGAACACTGTTCATCTCTGGCTACCGGGTTCCTGAGGGCTGCTGGGCATGCAGTCCACGCCAGCTGAGAGCAATGCGTGCTATGCAACCCACCCCATGACCCCTGCTCAGGGCCCTTTAAGGATGAATAATGCTTCATCCGGAGGGGAATGGACAAACCTGTCTACTTGGCATCGATTTCAGGAATTGCTTTGCATTCTCTGTTGGTCCCACATAGATTCTATGATAGTCTGTTAGGTGCCTATGGCCGGGGGGATGGCCCCAACTCCCACACTTCCCCTCCACATGCTAGGTCTGTGCAACACACACTCCACGTCCTTGGCCACTGTGACCAGACCAGTGATGGCTATATGACCGTGCCAGGACAGAGACCTCGTCTGGTGTTGGGATGGGCACTAGATAGGGACATCGGAGTGACTCTCTTCTCTTCGAAGAACGGCAGGGGTGTCACTGCCATCTTCACAATCCTGTTACCAGAACCTGTGTGAACATGAAGCTGACACAGGGGAGGCAGGGGCTAGATATGGAAAAAGGGACAAATCTTGATGATCTAGTGTGACCTCCTGGATCCAGCCATGCCTGAAACCATACCACCCTGGACTATGGGCTTTGTGAGTCTGTCACTCCCTTTGTCAGCAGGCCAGTACTCGATAGGTTTTCTCTTCCCTGCCATTGGAAGGGCCCTCGCTGATACAGCCTAGCACATGTGAGGTAGATACTGAAAACTTCTAACCCAGTGGTGGTTTGACTTGGAGCTGCTTCTGGGCTTTAGGAAGCATTGACCCCCATGCACTTCCTCTATGTCTTCAGTCCAGGCTCCCATTTGACTGCAGGCTACAAGTAGGCACTCTCTTGTTTAACCCAAAGCCCCCTCCCCGAACACTGGGTTTGGAGACCTTGGCTTCGTTCCCCTTGTGTTCTCTCTTGGCCCAGACCCCGTGATTTGCTTTGTGCCAGCTGCTGAAGGCACGTTTCTTTGTGATGCTCACTTTTCAGTAAGGTGAGCTCTACACCATCACCCAGAACAGTCTCTCCAGCGGCGGGGTGCCTACCCCAACCTGAAATGCCGTTGCTCCACACTCTCACCACAGAGTGCTCCCTCCTAGGGCTGGGCACCATCTGCTATACGACTTACTATAGAATTACTGCATTTGGGTCTTACAACAACGAGACAGATACTTGCATCCTGGCTTCCAGATATGGTAACTAAAGCTCAGAGAAGTTAAGCAATTTGCCCGGGGTCACACAGCTAGCATATGGTGGGAAACAAATTCAGCCCTGGTGTCAAATTTCATAAGTTTAACCCCCTGTCCCAGGAATCTCATGGCAGCAAGGTGAGCACAGGCCAGGCCCCCCCCCCCCAGTGGAAGACAAGAGTGACCAGGTGGAATTCTGAAGCTGGTGTGCCCTCGGACCCCTCCATACGCTGCACCCACAGCCACTAGGAGGTCGATCGGAGCACCGGGGAGCTGCCTGCTCAGCTGCCTCACCCTCTGTTGTCTTTACCTTGAGCCCTGGGCACTGCGCGAGGCCCCGTGGCACGTTTCCCATCCCCTCCCCCGGGTCGAGCCACACCAAAGCCCCTGTTCCTTGACTCTTGATCCCAGGGGCACTGCTCAAGCTGGAAAGCAGGGCGGGCCACTCCTGTCTGCCCCAGGGACCCTCCCATGTGTGGCTGCTAACCTTTCCCGGGGGTGGGGGGACAGGGCTCTTCCAAAAGTCCTTTCATATTATTTTGTCAGGGTGCAACGTCCAAAACAGGGATACTCTGTAACTGGCCTTTCAAGGAAGCACAGAATAGCGCTGCCCGTCAGCTGTAGAGCAGCTGGGAAAGACAACCACTTTCACTCAACTCTCAAGCAAGCCCTCTGTGGTGTTCTGTATGGATGCGTAACTGCTCCTAGCATCCTGCGTGTCTTTAACTCCTTGGAAGGCAGGGACCTTGTCTTAGACCTCCACTCTGTCCCTCTCGGGCCCTGCACTGGCTGCACACAGGTAATGGGTGCTACCCCAGGCACCGCCCCATCTCTTGGACCTTTCGGTCTGCCTCTGTGTCTGAGGGTGATTCCCCACAATGGAGGTGTGGCCCACGGGTGTGGCAGGCTGCGGGGCAAGCCGGCAACACCAGGAAATAAACGCCCCCCCCAGACCCCGGCCTGCAGCCCCCAAAGGCAGGCAGGAGAATCCTGCCGGTGTTTCCCTGGGGGTCTAAGCTCCAGCTGCCCTGCTCCAAGCCGGTTTAATAGCAACCCCAGACTGGCGGTCTCCCCTTCCCCCTTTTCCTCTCCCCTGGTCTTTCCTCCACCTCCCCAATCATCTGCTTGCCTTTGAATCCTTCCTCAGGGTCTGCTTCAGGGAGAACACAAACTGAGATAACATGGGCCCTCGTAAATATTTGTGGAAGCAAAGAAAATATATTAACTTGGGACAAATAGTGTAGGAAGGCCTCTTTAATGCTCCCAAAGTTTGCTTGAAATGACATTTTGGGGGTTTAGGGGGAGGGTTGTGTTTCTAAGAGAAGCAATGATCCTTTCGAGACTTCTCATAACAACCTCCCAGGAAGGAGGTTCTGGAACACACTTATTCTGAAGACCACATAGGGGCAAGGAGTACATTTAATTAAAAGGAAAAGTCTCCAGGATATCCAGAGTGTTTTCTTTGAGCCCACAGGAGCATGCTGGGTGTGGGATTTTACCTGTGAAATTCACTTAAGATTTAGAATTGATATAATCTACACACTTTCTTTTTTTCTGGCAGCAGGTTATGGACATCTAACTGTGATAGGAAATTAAGTAACAGAGATGCCAGCTTATTGGATCTGGCAATCCAATAAGAGAAAAAGGAATTGGAGAAAAAGGAATTCTGAAGAGAACTCTGTTCATTGAGTTGCTTATGTTAAGAAATTGTCGCCTCCCGGGGCCAGTAAGGGCAGCTCCGTGAAGGGACAGGTCTGCCTCCACACAGCAGACACCCACTTCTTTCAGATGCAGGCCTGATTTCCCTTTCTTCGTCTTTTTCAACACATAAACTAGTGGTGAGGAATAACGGTCAGCTTGTCAGTATCGGGGTGGATTTCACTCTGGCAGAGCAGTGGCTAAATCACAGTGTGGGAGCTTTGGCGTCAAGTTGCCCTCAAAGCAGGGACTGGGGCAGCCGGCTTTTACCGAGGGCTGCCTGCTCCTGCCGCCGCCATCCTGATCTGAGAGCCAAGCCAGGTTCTCAGGCCTCTCCTCGGCACAGGGGTCCACGTGGAAGCTCTTAAGGGCCAAAATCCGGTACCGCTTCCTCCGGTTCTGCTTGTATATGCGAATCCTTTCTTTTTCTGCCTCTGGGTCGGCAAGAATTCCATCCCAGCGCAGACTCTCATTGACCTGGCTTGAAAGGGTCTCTTCTATTTCTGCCAAGTAGGGGAGACTTACAGAAGGGAAGAAAGAAGGGGCGAGCTTGTTTTGCTCTTTGTCCTGTCTGTGCTCTTGCCTTGGGCCATCATGTTTGCTGGAGCTTAAGACAGCATGCAAAGACGGAGACAGCTGCTGAGTCTTCAGGCTTCGACTGTGTTTATCTGCAGAGCAGATGCGCAGTGTTAGCATGTGGTGATGTCTGCCCCCATCCTGCTCAGGAACGATGCCCAACTCACCAAAGCTAAAAGCGGGTGGGGCCCCTCCTTATCCAGGGCTCAGGTGGCCACGCCCACCAGCCTCATCCACACCCACCGGCTCTCTGCTTTTGGTTAAGTCTTTTGGGGGAGGGAGTAGCCATTCACTGAGCACGTACCATGAGCCAGGTCCTCTGGGTAAAGACTATCAGCTCTACTTTTCAAGTGACGAAACCGAGACTCCAAAAGTCTAAGTAACTTGCCAGTGTCACACAGCTGGTCACAGGGCCAGGATCTGAATGCAGGCCCGACTCCTAGCTCTTCCCACTGTGCCACACTGCTGGCCACTTCACCTCTCCACATGCTCACTGAGACACTTCCCAGGCCCAGGAGCCCACGACTCTCCGCCCCCCCGTCCAGACTTCCTTATGATGAAAGTGAAGAACAACAGAAAAACTTCCCGCGTCTGACTGCGGAAAGCAACATCACACCAAGCCAGGAAATACTTGTGCTGTGTGGCTTGTACTGATTTTTTTTTTTTTACATTAATAGAATTCCTGAATTATATAACACACACATAAAATGCTGTAGGTTGTTCTTTCATCAGCTTATTCTTTTCGGGGAGGGAGAGAGAAATCCCACCCCCCCAAAAAGAGAAAAAAATAAGAAAAAAAAAATCCTCTTTTGACATTTCTATACCTTTCTACTCCCTGAAAAACATTCGGTGTCTCCCGCTGGCAGCATGAGGCACACATCACTGTAATGTCTAGAGTCAGAGGCTAAGCCAGCCCTGGCTGGTGTAGCTCAGTGGATTGAGTGCAGGCCTGCCACCCAAGGGGTCGCAGTTCAATTCCCAGTCAGGGCACATGCCTGGGTTGTGGGCCAGGTTCCCAGCAGGAGGCGCATGAGAGGCAACCATACATTGAAGTTTCTCTCCCTCTCTCCTTCCCTTCCCCTTTAAAGATAAAGAAATAAAATCTTTAAAAAAAAAAAAGCTAAGCCAAAAAACAATACATTTCCTAATTTCCTTTTGCACACACACACTGGGCTTCTTGACCTAAACTCCAGAACTGATTTCTTGCCTTTTTATTATGATTCCACCTGAAGAAATAATTATAATCTTCCTATTGCCTCCTTTCCCAAAATTCAAGGTTGACATGGGAAAGGCTACCACTCCTCTGCCTCTGGCTTGCCAGGGGTACCAGTTCTACACACAGGGATCAGGGCTCAGGAACTTGAACCCAGGACTAGCCACACTGGAGGTCAGGGCTGCTGTACCAGGGTCAGTTACTGACAGCCACAGCCCTGGAGGGGGACCGCACACGTGATAGTGGTGACTTAGCACTCATGGGCAGGTGCATTCTGCATCACTGTTATTCTATCTCCATAAAGTGGGTGCTCAGTGCATTTGTCAAGAAATCCAGAGGTTCCATGAGAGATCAGTGAGATGTAGGGACTCTGTGGGTTTGTGGCAGGTGTTGGTATGTGTGGGTCTGATGTGTCCTTGAGAAGAGACTGGAGTGAGAAGCTGCATGCAGATAGTTGTATGTGCACAGAAAGTGTCGGGAAGGAGGAGTGTCTGTGCATGTGAGTGTGAAACTGGAAGAGAGAGAGGGAGAGAGAAACATTGATTTGTTGTTCTACTTATTTATGCATTCATTGGCTGATTCTTGAATGTGCCCTGACCCGGGATAAAACCCACACAACCTTGGTGTATCAGAACGAAGCTCTAACCAACTGAGTTACCTGGCCAGTCTTATTTTATGGTTATATTGACATAAGGAGGTGTTGCTGAGGATGTTTGGGATTGTAAAAGTCCGCAGCAGTGATTGATGGGGTGGTGCATGTGCAGCCGAAGGCTAGCCTTGGGTACAGGGGTTGGAGGATGACAGTCTATGCAGGGAGGATACTACTTTATATGCATCAACTGGGTGTCTATAGAACTCAGAGGCCAGGTACCCCTGAAAAATGTGGGGGCGAGGAGGGTCTCTAGACAGAAGACTGTGTGTCTCTGTTTGAGGAGTGTCTGCCTCTAGTGCCCTGGCTTCTCTAGCTCGGGGAAAGTCCATGTGATGATGAAAGGATCTCTGAGAGAGGGCTTGGGACTTCTATGAGGAAGGTATGGATGTTTAGGATCGCCATTTGGCTGAGGGATTAGGAAGTTAAGAGGGTGTCCGTAAAGTTGAGGTGTTGTGTGGGGCTGGCAGGCTCTGTGGAAATAACTCTGGGTATCTGGGGTTGTCTCTGGGGTAGAAGGCCTCCATGGATATGAAAAATTTTTCAATTTGGGGTCTCTGTGGACCCCAATGGTCTTTATGAGTAGGGGGGTATCTCCGTGCAGCGATAAACAATGTGTGAGGGGGGCCGGTGGATCTCTATTTGGGCCTGATGTCCCCACTGGTCCCCAGGAGATGGGGGGGTCTCTATGAGGTACAGGGGTGGGTGACCTCAGGTACAGAAGCTGAGGCTTCTGCACTACTAGCTCTTACCGTCCCCCTTGCCCGACCCCTCAGTCTTCTTCTTTTTCTTCTTCACCTTCCGTTTGGTGGGCTCTGGGGCGCTGCAGATGGGAGGCAGTTTGGATCCCTTCATGCCTACCCTGCAGCTCTCTAGATCCTCCTCCCCGTCCTCGCGGTACCCGGACGCCACGGCCCCTCCGAGGTGGTCCATCCCCCCCCAGGGGGCCGCCACCTGCGCGTGGGGCAGCCCACCACCCGCTGCTGCCTAGCGGAGCGGAGTGCCTGCCCAGGGCTACGCGTCTCCGTGGCAACCGCCACAGAGCCAGCGCGCCTGCGCAATCAGGAGGCTTCCGCCCAGGTGCCGCCGCCGGCGGACTGGGTGTATGCGCATGCGTGCTTCGGCCTGCGACCTTGGCTGGATGGGCGATGTGTGGGGAAAGAGTGAGTAGAGAAATTGTCGATACGCGAGGTGACACGAATCTGGTATAGTCCTGTGCCTTTTAAAATGCTGTTTGTTCTCTCCTAAACTTTTATCTGCTGAGGCCCAGTCTCTTACACCAACCCAGGCCTTTCAAACCTAACACGTGCAAAACAAACCTTCTTTTCCAGTGTTCTCCATCTCTGAACAAAACAGTGGGACCGGCCAGAACCCTGGTGGCCTTCCTGACCCCACTCTCTTCCTGTGCCCTCACCTAGGCTAGGGCTGACCGCTACATCTGGCCCTTGAACTTCTGGACCCCTCCTAACTGTCTCTACTTCCAAACTCTCCCCACCAATTCTTTATCTATACAGCCGGTAAAATTAATTTTTAAAGACATTTGGATCATTTCACTCTCTTGATTAAAATCTTCCAATGGGTCCCCGTCACAATTCTTATTAAAATTGAACTTCAGCCCTGGCTGGTGTAGCTCAGTGGATTGAGCGCGGGCCTGGGAACTAAGGGATTGTGGTTCAATTCCCAGTCAGGGCACATGCCTGGGTTGCAGGCCAGTTCCCAGCATGGGACACACAAGAGGCAACCATACATTGATATTTCTCTCCCTCTCTCCTCTCTTCCCCTGTAAAGATAAATGAATAAAATCTTTTAAAAAACTGAACCTCAGCATGGCTTACAAAGCCTGGTATACTCTGTCACCTGCTTTTCTTTCCAGGTTTATTCACCACAGATTATAGTTTCCAAAAATGGCTGCAATAGCATCTGTCATCCCACTCTCTTCTAGAATTCTGCCACCTCCACATGACAGAGACAGAGTCTCATTCCTCTCCACTTCAATCTGAGTGGGTCCCTTGACTCACCTGTAACAAACAGTATGTGGTGAAAGTGACAGTGTGACTTCTTAGTTTAGGTCACAAAAGGTAGTGCAGCATCTGCATTGTTAGCCTTGCTCCTGGAGGCCTGAGCCTCTTGGTAAGAAGTCTAAGGACCCTGAGGCCATCATGCTGTAAGGAAGGCCAAAATACACCACATGGAGAGACCCCCAAGGCTTTGTGAGGGAAGAGCCCCCAGCTGCCCCAGCCCCCACTTTTCCACATCTAGCCATAGCATTGTTCCTGGACAGGGACCAGCCCAGACAAGGTCTGCCTCAGGCCAAGCCTGTACGGTGTGCGTTCCTGACTTCATGTAGGAAAGATTTTGCAATGTGAGTCCAGGTGATTTTGAGAGGTTTATTAAAGCTGGGGACGGTAAAACAAAGGAAAGCTTATGGTGGAAGAAGCAGCAGGAGAGAGTCAAGGTGGTGCTCTGCTTTGGCTCTCTAGAAATGTTACAGGAAAGGAGTGAGCCCAAGCGAGGCTGCTGTCAGCTCCCAGGGAGGTCAGAGGAAAGGGGGCCTTGGAGACAGGGTCAGAGGATTAGCGCAGGATAAGCAGCTGCTGCCTGCTGCTCCCCTGGTTGCAAGTCTCGTGGGGACCCGTAGAGTTTAGAAAGAAGTTAAATGTCCATCCCTGGGAAGGGGCATGGGTGTGCTCTAGGGTGAGCGGGCACCGAGTCTTTGTCCCGAGGGCTTTTTATCTTTCTTCTGTGGGTGAGAATCTTAGGGGAGTGTTTGGGCTTATTCTTTTGGTTTGCTATAATGTTACTCTTATCTTGGGTCTGTTTGGCTCTAATGGGCTTTTGTTGTTTGTTCCCCTGACTTTATCTGTCCTTGGGTTTAGTAGGCACAAATGACAATAACTGGGTCTCTGTTCTCTATTTCCCGGACCAGGGAGATTTACGCTATGTGTCCTTTGGTTAGGGAGGAAGAGTATGACACCCTTCTCTCCAGTGTCCTTGGTCAGGGGAGATAAGGTCTTGCGATTCAGCAGCTGGCCGTAAATTGCTCAAACTGTTTGGCCTGGTTTAATTTTCTTGTCTTGGTTTCCCCACTCCATTTGCCCAAGCTACTCTCTGCCTACTCCTCCATCACAAAGATAGTCTTCTGTTATCTTCAAGAAGCCTTATGGTTCTGACGTTTTAGGTTAGATGTATGATCCATCTCAAATTAATTTTATGAATAAAGTCATAGAGGGGTCAAGATTCATTTTTCCTCCCGAAGGATTTCTAGTTGTTCTAGCAATTTTCTTTGAGAAGAATGTCCCTTTCCCTATTATCTTACTTGTCACTTTCGTAGAAAGTCAATTGACTGTACAGGTGTGAATCTCTTTCTGGGCTCGATTCTGTTCCCTTGGTCTGCCTGCCTCTGCTTGTACCAGCACCCACCGCCCTGGCTACTGGAGCTGTGTAGTAAGCCTCGATCTAAGGTAGTGTCAGTTCACCAACTTTGTCCATTTTGATGATTGTGTGGGCTATTCTAGAGCCCTTGCTTTTCCATATACATTTTCAGAAAATCTTGTCTATTCCTTCCCAACAGCCTGCTGCAATTTTGACGGGGGTTCCATCAGATCTATAAAGCTTGGCGCTCCTATACTCAGTAACAGCAGTCGCTGGCGCCGAGCCCCACACACGCATGCGCACTCACATTGCGCTGTAAAGGCCCCTTTCGTTCCGTGTATCCTCGGGCCTCTCCTCCCATGACATGTCCAGCACGGCCTGCATATAGTGAGCGCTTGGAACCTGCCCCTTGCCTGTCTGCTTCTGTCCCTAGGAGCTAAGCAAAATGTAGATGACAGGGGTCCACTGTGCAAATGGCCACCTACTAGTGGGGTCGGCGAGGGTTTGCTTTCCAGAGGTCGTGCCCTGCTCACTCTGTGCTTACAGACCGGTGCTGGCTGTCCCTCTCCACCTTTTCCAGGAGAGGCTGGCCCGCCTTCCCGCTCAGCTTGTCCTCCTCACCCAGACGCTCGTCTGAAAGGAAGGAGCTTGATCATTTCTCTTCCGAATTTCAGTGAAGGTTGCATCAAGGTTATGCTGAGTTAACCATTCAGCTTCGAAAGGGAAACTTCATATTCAGCAAAGGAGTAAAATCTCTTGCCAGTAGAAGGAGATTGGACAAGAATAGCCCTATTTGATAGATGAGGAAACAGAGAAACGCAGAGTGACTTGCTCAGCCTCTTAATTCTCATTAGCCACCAAGCTGGGCCTGGAATCTGCATCCACAGTTCTACCAACCTTACCAGGAGAGCAACCAATCTTACGATCATGTTCCTTGATGAGAAGAGATCATAGTATGTTCATCATTTGTTGTATCTTCCTTGTTTAAACTTTCTCCCTGTGGTCTAATTGGATGTTGTTCTGAGCAGGTAAGAGCTGAGGTTTCTTTCTTTCTAAGGTTCAAGTTCTTCCTTTTGTCCACCACTGATACGGGCACCTCTTCCTGCCGCCTGCTCAGCCTGGGTCTGTCCAGCTGGCTGGGCCGCTGGTTCCAGCTCTCTGCTCCGTCCTCCTTCTCACTCCATGCTGTTGGTTTCTTGCCCAAGGCAGATAGTCCATCTGCTCTTCAGTAGCACCAGCCTTAGACTTGGGCAAGTGGGGACCCTGCTGTACACCCTCAGAGTCAGCTGTACTCGTCCCTAAGGGACAGAAAGTCTGCATAATCGGGGGTCCTGCCCACCCAGCACCTATCTCCCACCTCCCTGCATCTAGCCTGTAATCTGAGTACCTGGCACCTTGCAATTTCTTCTTCACATGTCCCCAGCCTGATAGTTGGGCCCATCTGGGCCTCTTTCCTGAGTCCATCTTCCTGAGTAGCCCCGGCCAAGGGCAGCATAGACAGAAACTCAACAGGCTGGCTGAAGTGTCCAGAACTGTGCCTTCAAAGGTCTTCTGTGTGCAGAATAGAGCTGGGAGTGGGAAAAGCAGGGCAGGCCATGGGCTGGGCACAGAACTCCAGGGCGCCTTACTGGGGGGAAGCCCCAAAGGTCCAAATTCAGGATGGATTCTGAAGAACTGACACATGGCCCTATTCAAATGCATAAGAGCTTTAATGGGAGAAACTTACATATACAAGCAAAGCAGCTGCTTCCAGTGGTGACAGGCTGGGAGGACTCCACACCCCTCCCAGAACAGGTTCCCTTTTTTAAAGGCAGTAAATAGCAGGGGTTAATAGCAAAACCAGATGGCAGGTAGTTGTGTGGACCCCCCAAGAGAACAATGTATCATTAAGTTGAAAGAAAAGTTAAAAGATAACATCAGGCAGTTACTCGCACTATACCTCATTAACCTCCTTCCTGGGGGCATGATATTCATCTCTGGGCGGCATTTGGGGTAGTCAGCCAAGAGTGAGGTTACAGAGAGTTAAACAGTCAGAAGAAGTTCAACAGTCACAGAGAGTTCAACATCTCCCAGACGCCTTTGCTGCCAGAGCCATATTGCAACTCTAAAGTGAGTTCCCCTACAAGCCTGAAATTCAAAAATTCAAATCTGGCCTTCCAGATTGTTATGAAGGTCTATTTGTCAAGGTAGGATGATAGTGTATGTTTTATTTAACAGTATGTCAATTTAATTTATACCTTTTACTATTTAGACATATGGTATGTGGGTGTCCATTTCTGCTCTTGCCCTGGGCTTTGCAACTGTTAAGAATAGGCCTGTTCTTCATTTTTCCTACTTTTAAACCCACTCCAATCACTTCCTGATTTTCACATTATACCTCATGGTACTTTAGAAGAACAAGGAGAAAAAAGCTCTGGTTGGTGTGGCTCAGTGGATTGAGTGCTGGTCTGTGAACCAAAAGGTCGCCGGTTTGATCCCCAGTCAGGGCACATGCCTGGGTTGCCAGCCAGGTCCCCAGTAGGGGCGCATGAAAGGCAGCCACACATTGATGTTTCTTACCCTCTCTTTCTCCTTCCCTTCCCCTCTCTAAAAAAATACATAA